GTATAAAATTAATGCATTGAATATTAAAAGCGACTAGTCACTACATCCACTATCGCCTCACGCAACGTTTTCAACTTCTTGATTTTGGCAACTAATTTTTCGCCATCCAAACAATTTTCCGGCATACGTGCAGTTTGCTCAAAATCGCGTTTTGCATCGCGTAAGCGCTTATGAATTTCCTTTGGCTCGATTAAAACACGGCCGAACAATTCAAAGTCGTTTGAGAGCGCTGCAGACAATAACGCAGCATTTTCTTTGGAGAACTGGTAATTATAGCCAGTACCCTGCCGCTCATAAGGAGCACGCAGCAATAGCGTGTGAGTCGGTGAATGTTCAGGCTTATTCAAATCAAATTCTTGGTTTGCATCCAACTCGCCTTCAGTTAGTGAGCATTCATTCAATTGTTGAAATAAATTGTAAGTTTTTACCCAAAATGTACAATTGTGTTAACTAACATTTCGCATACACTCACCATTTGCCGCAGCTGTATTTTCGGCAGCACTTTTTGCAGAAAATGCTCACGTAGCTGCTCAGTTGAATAGTCAGTGAACTTTTCAGTATTATTCCAACTCGCTGTGTGGAAATCATTCCAAGTTTCTTCACGTTCGGCAAAAAGTAACCGACTGGAGGTTGTTACATACTGGATTAAAGCCTGGTCTAGCTCCGCTGTGTTTTCACTAATGTCGATTGATGCATTTACATCTGTTACTGGCGACTGACTGCCGTGAATATCATACATTTCTACGTCCAATGGATCCATTTTTAGTAATTTTATTAAGTTGTGGAATTTTGCAAATGACTGAAGACTGCTATTTCATTTTAAACGCGCGGAATTTTTGACATCACAGAAAACGGAAACGACAAATAAAGCAATCGTTGCTAAGTTATTTCCCTTTTTTTTTGAAATTCCGTGTTCCGAGGTTGCATTTTTGGAAGAGAAAAGTCCCAAACCTATCCGGGCGGTTAATTGGTAATATTGGACAGCAGATGTCGCCCAAGCCATTAGTACATACAGCTGGGTGCAAAAAAATATAAAGTGCCGCTGGATCGTTCCCGTCAAACAAGAAACCCAAGTGTTACACATAAAGGATGCATATAAAAGGTTAAAAAAGTAAATCCTACTGATATTATAAATGTGAAGTTTGTGAGTGAGTGGTTTTGTTTGTAGCTCTTTCACGCTAAAATCGCTGGAGGGATTTTAATGAAATTTGGCGCACTCATATGCTATGACCTTGATTAACTTATAGGATATTTTTTGAAGGGGGTTGCCATTTTTTAAAAAGTTAAAACCAACTATTTATCAAAGTTAGATAAAATGTTATAATAGTGTGGGTGTCAAAACAAAAGCAGTTTAAAAACGATTTCTTTCAAAAATATTTTTGAATTGAGTTTCCACATTTTCATAAACTTTAAACCATTTAAACCACATATTTTAGTATGGGTACCAAATGGGAAAGGTTTACGACAAATTTATTTCTAAATATTTTTAAAGATTCAATTGCAATAATCTTAAAAGATTAAACGAAAAGTTTTAAGTAAAAGTGGGGTCTATAAAATAAAGTACATTTCATATCCATAATTGACGTTGATCATACCAATACTACAATACCAAACTACGGAAAACATGGCAATACCGCAATGCTTTTCTCCCACACTTCAACTTGTCCCAAACTGCATTTTGCGCCGTTTTCTGCATTTTGTTGCCGATGAATGTACAGGCTGGAAGAAGACTTATCCAATTCGAGGTTTTTAATAATAATAATATCCCAACGGTTTTTACCCTCCATTCCCGC